AATAGTGATCAGTCAGATTCTGGTGCAGTCATCAGGAACCAGTGGGGATGACTTGGTTTATCAGCACCTGCACATGGGATGTAATTTGACAGTGGGGTTAAAATGGTTTTTCTGTTATTATTTGTTTACTAAATAAATATATGAGGGGTTAAAAGTCAAATAATTTAGACATCAAATTAGGCACCAAATGATGCTTTGTCAAAGTTAAAAATTAGGCACCTAATTTTTATTGAAATTGGGTAATGGGATAATTAATTTTAGTCATTGTAATTTAGGGTATTTATAAGATTAGTCCTTAAGTTTCAACTATAAATACCCTAGCTCATTTAGCTTCAAAACCATCCCAAAACATTCTAGCTTTCTTCCAATACTAGAGAGAATTTAGAGAGTTTCTTGAGAGTTGTTTTCTCCTTTTTATCGAGAGAGAATTATCATTGTTTTCTCCTTGGTAGATCGAGAGAGGTTGTAAGTCCTATTTTCTCATAGTGAAATTCTTCTACCGTTGCCCGTGGTTTTTACCCTATTTTATTTAGGGGTTTTCCACGTAAATTTATGTCTCTTTTTTATCTTCATTTTTATTTTCTCAAATTATCAGTTGCGATTTTGCTCTATCCGATAGCCGTCTTCCGCAACAATTGGTATCCGAGCTAGATTAGAGTGTGTAATATCTGCTTATTGTCTTTGTGGTTGCCACCAAAAGGTGGATCCTCCAACATAAGAAAGTAAGAAGTTATTACCCATTCTTTGAAGGTTCCAGAGAACTATTCGCGATAGTGAAATAGTGGGAGCTATCCGTAAACGAAGCAATGACAACGAAATTTGATATTGAAAAGTTCAATGGGAGAAATTTCTCATTGTGGAAATTGAAAATGAAGGCTATCCTGAGGAAAGACGGTTGTCTAGGAGCTATCAGCTAAAGGCCAGTAGATTTCACAGACGACAACAAATGGATCGAAATGGACGGAAATGCTATAGCAAACTTTCATCTAGCATTAGCAGATGAAGTATTGTCAAGTATCGAGGAGAAGAAGACAGCTAAGGAGATATGGGATCATCTCACCAAACTGTACGAGGCCAAATCGTTGCACAATAAAATTTTCCTTAAGAGAAAATTGTACACTCTCCGTATGCCAGAATCTACTTCAGTGACGGAGCACTTAAATACACTGAACACTTTATTTTCTCAGCTTACATCCTTAAGCTGTAAAATAGGAGAACAAGAACGTGCTGAACTTCTACTTCAAAGTCTATCGGATTCATATGATCAACTCATCATCAACTTGACAAACAGTAATGTCACCAGTCTAGTCTTCGATGATGTTGCAGCTGTTGTTCTACAAGAAGAAAATCGACGCAAGAACAAGGAAGACAGACAAGTAAATCTGCAACAAGCAGAAGCGTTGACAACGATGACAACGATGAGAGGGAGATCAACAGAACGTGGCCAAAGCAGCAATCACAAACATGGTAGATCGAAGTCGAGAAGCAAGAAGAATTTAAAGTGTTACAACTGTGGAAAGAATGGTCACTTGAAGAAGGATTGTTGGAGTCTAAATAAAAACTCCAATCCACAAGGCAATACCGCAAACACTTCAGATGATGGAGATGCTCTATGCTGTGAAGCGTCAACCACCGTGGAAGGAAGAAAACGATTTGCAGATATATGGTTCATTGATTCGGGAGCAACATATCACATGACCCCAAGAAGAGAATGGTTCCATCATTATGAACCTGTCTCAGGAGGATCTGTGTATAGTTGCAATGATCATGCCTTAGAGATCGTTGGCATGGGAACCATCAAATTGAAGATGTATGGTGGAACAATTAAAGTTGTTCGAGATGTGCGGCACGTGAAAGGTTTGAAGAAAAATTATTATCCTACGGATTGTTGGATAATAATGCTAGCAAGATTGAAACACGGAAAGGAATCATGAAGGTGTTCCGTGGAGAGCTTGTGGTGCTGAAAGGTGAAAAGATAGCTGCAAACTTGTACATGCTGAAGGGAGAGACATTGCTAGAAGCAGAAGCCTCTGTTGCCTCATGTAGTTCAGATTCTGCAATGCTATGGCATAAGAAACTTGGACACATGTCAGAACAAGGAATTAAAGTCCTTGTGGAGCAAAAGTTACTTCAAGGCTTAACAAAGGTATCACTTACTTTATGTGAGCATTGCATAACAAGTAAGCAGCACCGGTTGAAATTCAACACATCAAATTCTAGAGGCAAAAGTGTTCTAGAACTGGTCCACTCTGACGTATGGAAAACACCAGTTACATCCCTAGGCGGAGCAAAATATTTTGTCTCATTTATTGATGACTACTACAGGAGATGTTGGGTGTACCCTATTAAGAAGAAGTCCGATGTGTTTTCAACTTTCAAAAACTTCAAAGCACGGGTGGAACTTGATTCTGGAAATAAAATCAAGTGTTTCAGAACAGATAATGGAGGAGAATACACAAGTGAAGAATTTGATGACTTTTGCAGGAAAAAAGGCATCAAAAGACAGTTCACAGTGGCGAACACTCCTCAACAAAATGGAGTGGCAGAGCGGATGAACAGAACCTTGTTAGAAAGAACAAGAGCAATGTTGAGGGATGCAGGCCTAGAAAAATCATTCTGGGCAGAAGCAGTCAATACCGCCTGTTATTTGGTGAATCGAGCTCCATCAACTGCAATAGAGCTGAAGACACCAATGGAGATGTGGACTGGAAAACCAGCTGATTATTCAAACCTCCATATATTTGGAAGTATAGTGTACGTGATGTACAACTCCCAAGAAATTTCAAAGTTGGATCCAAAATCCAGGAAATGCAAATTCTTGGGGTATGCTGATGGAGTAAAGGGGTATCGCTTGTGGGATCTCACTGCCCGCAAAGTGATCATTAGTAGAGATGTTATCTTTGTAGAAGATAAACTACAAAGAAAAGAAGACGATGATAGCGCTGAAAAGTCAGAGACTACTCAGATACATGTGGAAAAAGAGTTTGAAGAACGAGTTCAGTACCATTTCATTCGTGAAAAGGTGGAAGAAGGAACGGTAGATATGCAGAAGATTCATACCAAAGACAACATAGCAGATTTCATGACGAAGGCAATCAATGCTGATAAATTTACCTAGTGTCGATCCTCCTGTGGCCTGTCAGAAACGTAAGCAACATGAAGGTACAAGGTAGAAAGAATGGTGTGAAGATATGATTATTCCAATCAAATCTTCAAGTGAGAGATTGTTAAAAGTCAAATAATTTAGGCACCAAATGGTGCTTTGTCAAAGTCAAAAATTAGGCACCTAATTTTTGTTGAAATTGGGTAATGGGATAATTAATTTTAGTCATTGTAATTTAGGGTATTTATAAGATTAGTCATTAAGTTTCAACTATAAATACCCTAGCTCATTTAGCTTCAAAATCATCCCAAAGCATTCTAGCTTTCTTCCAATACTAGAGAGAATTTAGAGAGTTTCTTGAGAGTTGTTTTCTCCTTTTTATCGAGAGATAATTATCATTGTTATCTCCTTGGTAAATCGAGAGAGGTTGTAATTCCTATTTTCTCATAGTGAAATTCTTCTACCGTTGCCCGTGGTTTTTACCCTATTTTATTTAGGGGTTTTTCACGTAAATTTTGTGTCTCTTTTTATCTTCATTTTTATTTTCTCAAATTATCAGTTACGATTTTACTCTATCTGATAGCCGTCTTCCGCAACATGAGAAAAAGAGTCTACGGTGGGATTAATCAATAAAAGCCAATTAGTCGTGTGTAGGATTGTTTCTGAATTATGATTATAGTGGAATAGAATTTTCTTTATAACAAAATTTATTAATTTAAAATAAATAATAAAATGCATACACACATATCTTCAGAAGATTAATCAACTGTCAAATCATTTCATTGAGCTACATTTCCATCCTACATTTGATGATTTTTCCTACTTTTTTCAACTCTTAAATGATCTCTGGGTCATGCTTCATTTTTGTTGCTCTACCCATTTTGTAGGGAATCCCACACGTGATTGATTCATACCCACAAATTGTGAGTTTTACTATTTTTTTTCTGCACTGAAACCAAATAAAAGCTCCTGCCGTCACTATACGTAAACAAGCAATCTCAATCATTATACATACTATTATTCATGCTTCCTAATCACATTAATCAGAATCAATCACATTGTATTATTATTACTTTCTAACCATTCGAGTATGTACAATATAATTATACATAATTTATATATGAGATGTACCTTCGTTCTTGGAAAAAATAATACTTTATAATATAATATGTTGTGATGATATAATAACGTAATGAACTAACGGATCATCTAATAAAGCGGTTCATATTCTGTTTAAATTCTTAGAGAACACGTACCATTGGAAACTATGAAGATCAAGGAGTAATGATGCGATTTATTCATATTTCATTTTATGCATCAAAAACAAGAAAATACATTACTAGACAAATATCATGAATCACTACTGCAACCAAACAACCTTTTGAGTTGAGATTATCCTATATGGCATTAAAGTATGTCACAGGTTTATTTTGCCGACAAATATGAAAAAGCTAACACTATTTATTAATGATGAACGTATTTGAATTTTAATATTTTTAATAGAAAAGTCATAAGTACCGATTTGTTAGGTTTTTGGAAGATTCGTTTTGAAGTGGAAAGAGGTCCCCCATGATACTACATGTGATATTCAGTGAAAAGACTCCCCCCTCTCATTCTACCCCTTATTTCTTCTGCATTTTTTTTCTCTCACGCGATTAGCTAAGTGACATGATGAAAGTGAAAAATGAAACCAGAATAACAAGGATGGTTGAAACAATTACCATTTCTGACACATACAAACACATACCACAGCTCTCTTTCTTTTACCTGTTCATTATTTCGAGGAATGAGATTTTGAATCTCTTTCTCTACTTATTTTTTTAGCCCAAAAAATAAATAATTATCAAAACGCACTACAGAATTTATGCTACAAACCCCACTGATAATGTTTACTTACCTCTAAACATCACTCGCACGACCCCATTGAAGCTGGTCTGCTGGCTACAATTTCGTAGTCACCACCTTCGACTTCGTCTTCGTCTTCGTCTTCATCCCCTTCCTCGTCTTGGTTTTGATCGCTTCCCAAGTATTCGAGTCCGTCATCACGTTGGTGGTGCTGTTGGTAAGCCTCGGAAGGAGGCGGCGGCCATTGCTGCTCGGGGAGTACCATCAAGGGAGCTGAGTTTTGTGGTTTTATTTGAGTGGAGGAGCTGTCATATTTGTTCTTTTCTCTATATAAAGCATCAAGTTGGTGAAAGTAGGGACATGTTTTGGAATCATCGGGTCTTGTCTTGTGGTTATCTTTAACCTTCTTGAAGTACTTGTTTATGTTCTCCCATTTCTCTTTGCATGGCTTGGCGTTGCGATTGTAACCCAGCCTTTTCATTGCAGCTGATATCTCCTCCCACAATGGTCCTTTTGGACCACTGCCCTGGTATTTATTGTCCAGCCTACTCCTTAGCTCAATCAATGCTTGAACCTCCACTTTAGGCCATCTCGATGGGCTTGCCTGGTAACTTTGATCCCCATTCTCCGTCTTCAATAAAGATAATTCCGGTACTCTCGGCGGAGGCTGTGGAGCAGGCACTGCTGCTGCCGCTGGTAATGGCGGCGGTGTTTGTGCCACAGCCGATACATGCGGTTGTGGCGGTGGATTTTTTTGTGCCTGCCCCGGGTGTTGCTGGTCGGATAATTTTTGCAAGAACGCCATTAGAGCTACATTCTTTGCTGCTGCTATTGATCTATCTTGGGCTAATAATTCACGTTCTCTATTTATTCTGGCCATCTCTTGCGTTCTCCAAGTTTCTTCACGAGCCAATCTTTCCTGCTCGTGTTTCTCTAATGCTTCCAGGAATTTCTTCTGCATCTCCTCCTGCTCGTGAACCACCTTCTTCATCTGCTTCTCGAAAAAGCCCTTCCATTTTCTTTTCCTCTTCCTCCGACCTTCCAATTGTAAATCCGACGAGGTGGATGAGGAGGTCGAATCCGATATTATATCTGCGGTAATGTTAGGAAAAGAAGGAATTGTAGGGTTTATGTTTGTCGGTACAATGTTTTGAGCCAAACTGGGTAATACTGTTGTTGCTGATGGAACAGTGACATTATTAGTCTGAGTCGGAGGATTATTAGCTGCTGCTATTGTCGCCTGAGACAGAACTGGAGGCTTTAGTTGCGGCGGCGCTGCTGCAGTTGTTACTGGGGTTTGAGCGGAAAGATGGGTTTCCAGGGCTAGAAGTTGATCGGAAAAACGATAAGTCTTGCAATCTGATTTACCAGTTCGGCCATCTTTGGTCCTCTTGTGATACTTGAAAACATTCTCGAATTTCTCCTTGCATTTCTTGGCACTTCGATGATACCCAAGCTCTGCTAGTTTCCTGATATCGACATTAGAGAAAACTATACTTCAATTCAGCAGTAAAAAAACGCTGATTCACACATAAAATAACCTACGAACTGAATTCCACACATAAAATTTTAATAGAAGCATAAAGAAGAAATATATTAATGGGGAACCGATAAGGGGAAAGAGGGAGAGAGAAACGGACTAAAATTTATGATCAAAATCCAGCTTAAGATTCCCTGTGAAAATATTGGGAAAAGCAAATGCCAGAGATGATAAAATAAACATATGCCCCCGAAATGTCAAAATATATTAAACATATGGATACTGAAAGATGCTTAAATTCTCTCAACTTGATCTTATACACAGAAAGAATACAATTCGAAAACACAGATCTCCACTCATTAAACATAAACGAACTTCAAATTTCCATTGAATCATCCAAAAAAAGGGAATAACTTAATAATAATAATCACCTGGAAACCTCTTCCCATAATGGACCCTTGACGCTAGCGTCACGAAAGGTAACATCCATGTCCGACCTTATCTTCAAGAGTGCCGAAGTCTCTTGCCTCGGCCAGCGGTTTGTTGGATCATAAACTTGATCCATTATGGGAGCCTAAACCCAAACCCAAACTAAATTGATGTCATTACTTACATCATTTAATTAAAGATGTCATTGCTTACATCATTTAATTAATGATGTCATTGCTTACATCAATTTAGTTAGGTGAGAGTTAGATATTTGTTGAATTTGTAATGGTTTAAATTAGTTTATTTGTGTGGTGTAGGATTGTTCTTGAGTAGTATAAATACCCCTTCCCATTTTAGTTTTAAGCATCAAGAAAAAATTAAGAGCTTCTAAGTGAGTGAAGAAGCAAAGTCTTATAAGAGTGAGTTGTAGTTCTTGTTTTTGAGTGAGAGTACTCTTGTAATATTTGTTTGAGTTTCAATAAAAGTTGTTTGTGTGAGCGTTTTATTTCCAACAAAGTGGCATCAGAGAGAGTTGGAAAGATCGAAGGTCTCGACGAGAGGAATACGCCGCTGCCAGAATTTTCTCAATCTGAGTTCTGACGCACCGCCACGCACCGCCGGAAGACTGCTGCCAGAAAATCGAGTTGACTCACCGAGTTGAGCCGATTCAGCCGAGTTGGAGCCCTTGACCGAGGTGTCCAAGTCCCTCCAAAGTTTTTTTTTTTCATCGTTCCGGATTCATCCGTGCAATCGGATTTTACAAAATCTCATTATATTGAGAGATATGGCAAATGGTATGGCACCATTCCAAGTTCCGACACTCAACAACAACAACTACGACAATTGGAGTATCAAAATGAAGGCACTTCTTGGATCACAAGATGTGTGGGATATCATAGAGAAAGGCTATAATGAGCCTGCGGATGATGATGTTTTTGCTACTCTTACACCAGATCAAAAGACAACTTTGAAGGATTCAAGAAAGAGAGACAAGAAGGCTCTCTACCTCATCTATCAAGCATTAGATGATGATGGTTTTGAAAAGATTTCAAGTGCAAGCTCTAGCAAGGAAGCGTGGGAGAAGCTGCAAACCTCTTACAAAGGATCCGAGCAAGTGAAGAAGGTTCGTCTCCAAACATTAAGAGGTGAATTCGAATCCTTAAACATGAAAGCATCTGAGTCTATTTCAGATTATTTCTCAAGAGTAGTAGCTGTTTCTAATCAATTAAAAAGAAATGGTGAAAAGTTAGACGATGTGAGGATAATAGAGAAGATACTCCGTTCGTTGGATCCCAAATTTGAGCACATCGTCGTGACGATTGAAGAAACTAAAGACTTGGAAGAAATGAAGATCGAACAGCTCCAAGGATCATTGCAAGCATACGAAGAGAAGCATAAAAAGAAGCATGAGTTTACTGAGCAACTCTTCAAGCTGCAACTCAAGGATATGCATGAGAGCCAACGCAATGATAGAAACCAACGTGGCCAAGGCAGAGGTAGAGGCCATGGACGAGGTGGAAGTCGAGGTCGTGGACGAGGCTGGAATTACAACAATAACAATTCCAACAACAACTATGAGAAAGGAGAAAGCTCAACACGAGGCCGTGGAAGAATTAATCCAAACTCAAAGTATGACAAATCTCAAATTCGATGTTATAATTGTCAAAAATTTGGGCATTATGCTTCAGAATGTAGAGCTCCCAACAACAAAATTGAGGAGAAGGCCAATTACGTGGAGGAAGATGGCAAAGAAACTCTTCTTCTAGCACGAAAGGAAACTGATGGTGGCCAAGCAAATTCCTGGTATCTTGACAGTGGTGCAAGCAATCACATGTGTGGAAGGAAAGACATGTTTGTGGAGCTAGACGAGTCAGTAAGTGGAAATGTTTCGTTTGGAGATGATTCCACAATAGCAGTGAAAGGGAGAGGTAACATTCTTATCCGTTTGAAAGATGGGAGACATCAATTTATTTCAAATGTCTACTATGTGCCCAATATGAAAAGTAACATTTTAAGTTTAGGGCAACTGGTAGAGAAAGGTTATGATATTCATATGAATAATTATAATCTTTCTATAAAAGATGATAAGAATAACTTCATTGCTAAAGTGCCGATGTCAAAGAATAGAATGTTCTTGATCAACATACAAAATGATGTTGCAAAGTGCCTGAAAGCTTGCTACAAAGATGCATCATGGCTTTGGCATCTTCGATTTGGGCATCTCAATTTTGGAGGTCTAGAGCTATTATCTAAGAAGGAGATGGTGAAAGGACTACCTCACATCAACCATCCTGACCAACTCTGTGAAGGGTGTCTAGTCGGGAAACAATTCAGGAAAAGCTTTCCAAAGGAGTCAGAGACAAGAGCTAAGAAGCCACTTGAGCTCATCCATACCGATGTGTGTGGACCGATCAAGCCAAGTTCTCTCGGTAACAATAACTATTTTCTTCTCTTCATTGATGATTTTTCAAGAAAAACCTGGGTATATTTCTTGAAACAGAAGTCAGAAGTTTTTGAAGTATTCAAGAAGTTCAAAGCAGCAGTGGAGAGAGAAAGCGGTAGAAAGATCAAAGCCATGAGATCCGATCGAGGTGGAGAATTTACTTCCAGGGAGTTTCAAGAGTTCTGTGAAGCAAATGGAATTCGTCGACCAATGACAGTTCCTAGATCCCCCAGCAAAATGGTGTGGCAGAAAGAAAGAATAGAACAATCCTCGACATGGCACGAAGCATGCTCAAAAGCAAGAAACTACCCAAAGAATTTTGGGCGGAAGCAGTATCGTGTGCAGTCTACTTGTCAATCGATCTCCAACAAGAAGTGTATGGGGAAAGACACCGCAAGAGGCATGGAGTGGAAGAAGCCTGGCATTTCCCACTTGAGAACCTTTGGAAGTATAGCCCATGTTCACGTACCAGACGAGAGAAGAACGAAGCTTGATGATAAAAGCGAGAGTTTTATCTTCATCGGCTATGATGCTAATTCGAAGGGCTACAAGTTGTACAATCCAGACAATAAGAAGTTTGTGATTAGTCGAGATGTGGTCTTCAACGAAGAAGGAGAATGGGATTTTAACTCCCATACAGATGACTTCAATTTCTTTCCTCAGTTTGAAGAAGATGAGCAGACAATGAGGGAGCAACTAGATGAATCTCAACAAGAGCTTGCAACTCCACCCACTTCACCAACATCAACCACTCAAGGAGACTCATCACCTTCATCATCGTCAAGTGGAGTCAAAGTGAAAGAGTTGTGCAACGCACAAGAAGCCTTAGAGATCTCTATGAGGTAACTGAACGACAAGATAATCTTACATTATTTTGTCTGTTGCCGATTGTGAACCAGTGAGCTTTCAAGAAGCGGTACAAGAAAGAAATGGAGAGATGCGATGGACGAAGAAATCAAGGCCATCGAGAAGAATGACACATGGGAACTTACCTCACTTCCCAAGGAACATAAGGCGATAGGTGTCAAATGGGTGTACAAAACAAAGCAAAACGCCAAAGGAGAGATTGAAAGGCACAAGGCGAGGCTAGTTGCTAAAGGCTATAGTCAAAAGGCTGGAATTGACTATGATGAGGTATTGCTCCTGTTGCTCGATTGGAGACTATCAGACTAATCATTTCTTTGGCAGCTCAAAACAAGTGGAAGATACAACAGATGGATGTAAAGTCCGCCTTCCTAAATGGAGTTCTTGAAGAGGAACTTTACATTCAGCAACCATCAGGCTATGAAGTCAAAGGGCATGAAGACAAGGTGTTGAAGTTGAAGAAGGCTCTTTACGGGCTAAAACAAGCACCAAGGGCATGGAATAGCCGAATCGACAAGTACTTCCAAGAGAATGGCTTCAACAAATGTCCCTACGAGCATGCTCTATATATCAAGATCAAAGATGAAGATATTTTGATCGTGTGCCTCTACGTGGACGATTTGATCTTCACTGGAAGCAACCCAAGCATGTTTAATGAATTCAAGGATGTGATGATGAAAGAATTCGAGATGACAGACATGGGGCTCATGGCGTACTACCTTGGCATTGAAGTTAAGCAACAAAATGATGGAATTTTCCACAGGAAAGCTATGCAAAGGAGATACTGAAGAAGTTCAAGATGGAGAACTGTAAGCCAATAAGCACACCGGCAGAATACGGGATCAAGATGACCAAACATGAAGAAGGCGAAAGTGTAGATCCAACATTCTTCAAAAGTTTGGTAGGAAGTCTACGCTATCTAACTTGCACGAGACCCGATATTCTTCACGCAGTTGGATTGGTTAGTCGCTACATGGAATCCCCAACAACCACCCATTTTAAAGCCGCAAAGAGAATTCTTCGCTATCTGAAAGGTACAATTGACTTTGGCTTGTTCTATTCAGTTTCTAATGATTACAAGCTTGTTGGATATAGCGACAGTGATTGGGGTGGAGACATAGATAATCGAAGGAGCACTACTGGATTCGTATTTTTCATGGGAGATATTGCATTCACATGGATGTCAAAGAAACAACCGATTGTCACATTATCTACTTGTGAAGCGGAATATTTGCTGCTACCTCATGTGTTTGTCATGCAATTTGGCTTAGAAATCTATTGAAGGAGATGGTTTGATACAAGAAGAGCCTACCAAGGTTTGTGTCGACAACAAGTCAGCCATTGCCTTAGCGAAGAATCCAGTATTCCATGATCGAAGCAAGCACATTGATATTCGCTACCACTATATAAGGAGTGTGTTGCAAGAAAAGATGTGGAAGTTGAATATGTGAAGTCACAAGATCAAGTTGCTGATATTTTTACCAAGCCACTGACCAGCGAAGACTTCTTAAGATTAAGGAACCTACTAGGGGTCACGAGATCAAGTTTAAGGGAGGGTGTTGGATCATAAACTTGATCCATTATGGGAGCCTAAACCCAAACCCAAACTAAATTGATGTCATTACTTACATCATTTAATTAAAGATGTCATTGCTTACATCATTTAATTAATGATGTCATTGCTTACATCAATTTAGTTAGGTGAGAGTTAGATATTTGTTGAATTTGTAATGGTTTAAATTAGTTTATTTGTGTGGTGTAGGATTGTTCTTGAGTAGTATAAATACCCCTTCCCATTTTAGTTTTAAGCATCAAGAAAAATTAAGAGCTTCTAAGTGAGTGAAGAAGCAAAGTCTTATAAGAGTGAGTTGTAGTTCTTGTTTTTGAGTGAGAGTACTCTTGTAATATTTGTTTGAGTTTCAATAAAAGTTGTTTGTGTGAGCGTTTTATTTCCAACACGGTTGCCCCCGTAAAAACGCTCGCCTTCCTCAACTCTAACTCTCCCGTCGTCACCCGAATTGCTATTATTTCCATTGGAGCCAAACATGTTGGCCGCTACGACTGCACCGCCTCCTTCAGTACTGCTGCCATCACGAGCTCCACCGCTGCTAACCATAGATGCAGCAGCGACGTTTCCATCGGTGCCACCGCCGCCGCTTCCAAGAGCACTAGCAGTTGTGTCACCACCACCCAGCATATATGATTTTGCAGATACGACAACTTCCTTCCTTTCTTTCACTTCTTTTCCCCCACCCCACTGGCAAGAGCTTGCGATTTACTTGCAGCTTTCAATGAAGAAAGGGAGAAAATTAATAAACTAATATGAAAAAAAAATCAACTTCGTATGCCTCTATTCCTACGATCCTATCTCTATGGACAGAGAAAAGAGGGTAGTGAATTGCTTCTTCGTTTTCAAAAATAGTTTGTTTTTGGATGAATTTATTAGTAATTTATTTTTGTTTTTGGGATTGCTTGTCAATCTCAAGATTTTTCCTTCTTATTTTTATTGGAATCTTAAGGTTTTAATTTTTTTTTTCAAAAGACAGACTGTTAAAAAAAAGTAACGAGTGGTATGGGTTTTATTGATATATGAAATAAAATATAGGATTTTATAATCTGTATAAATATAAATAAAGCATATAATTACTAATATAATAAACTTTAGGAAAAAAATAACATAATGCGTTTATTAGTTATTTTAAATTATCATTTCCTTTTATTTCTCAGTAATAATTGAAAGATTGCACTGAAAGTCATAGGATATAATCATATAATAATAGAGAAAATAAAAATGAAAAATAAAATTCCAAACAGTTGCCTAAACAGACGATTGTGATAATTAGTAGTTGTTTTTTTTTTGTCTGTTTTCCTATATTTAGCTAAAAGCCGACCCGTTTTCTTCAAATTTTCTTTTACTTTTTCGTTTTTTTTTTCAAAAATATATTTACTTTTGTTTATATATATTTGAAATTGTTTTTTCCCCTCGTTGTGAAGAGAGAAAATCATAGAATTAAGTGGCCTTGTACTTTGCGAAAAAATATTATCAATAAAAATAATTTTATATTATTATAAAAAATAATATTTTTCTAATAATATTAGTTTTTTATTAGAATAGTAGGAAAGTTATTACTTTCAAATTCTTATGTATTAAATAATTTTAATTAAAGATGTCCTTATATTAGTAAATTCTTTCTATAAGAATCATTACCAATTTTTATTATTTGTACTTACTCAAAATTATAAATATAATAATACTATTCAAAGACTTTAATTTAAAAAAATATTAATAAATTTGATTATTTAAAATTATTTTATATTATTAATATTTAATATATTAATTATTTATAATCTTATGTGATGAAAAACAATATTACTGTAAAAATGTAATTATTTAAAATAATATCTAACTTCAAATTATTAAAAAATGGATTTTGTACATTAAAATATAATATCTTTGTCCACTCGAGATTAAAATATTATTTTTATATTATATTATATTTTATATAAATAAATATGATACTTATGAAAATTATTTAAGAATATAAATTTAATATACTAGTTGTACATTGAATCTATTTTTTTTTCAAAAGTTAGATAATACAACAATTAATTTTTTTATAAATTTTCATTAAAATATTTATAGTTTAATATTAAAGTTTAACTTTTTAAAAAAAACATATATTATATCAATAATTTGATAAAATATACATTTAAGAAATCTTATATTTTTTAACTAAACACTGTAAATTTACATTATTACTAAACAAATTAAATAAAATAATAAAATATATTTATAATAATATTACATTCCAATAATATTATTTCTAAAATTAATCTTACATTCCGTGACTAAAGATTTTTTTTTTCGAAATAGATGGAATTGATGTTCAATTTTTTTTAGGGGGGGTTCATAATGCCAATGGCCATTGGCAAACATTTTACCTAAGTGGCTAAAATACCCCTAATATGGATCCATTAAATCCCCTGTGAAACCTTTAAACATTGAAGCACGAATTATTATTGAAAATTTGTATTCGGGTGAACTGTGAACAATCTTTTTAGTAATAATAATTTTATCTTAGAAGTTTAATTTATTATATAATATTTATACATTTTCCAATGGCTTAATTCAACGGTAAATTCTTAAATTATATTTATTTTTTAGTTGAAAACTTAAATTATTTTTTCATTAAACGAGCCATTTAAATTATAATTTTATAATTATTTTATACTCTATTAACATTTACGTTAAAAAGAGTCTAGTTTATCGTTAATAATATCTAGAGTATATAGATGAAAATTTTAATTTATATCTCATTTTTCTCTTAAATTACGAATTCAATATCCGTTAGAATAAAATTTTTATTATTCTCGTTTAAATAAGAATTATTTGAAAGAAAAAAACTTTAATCCATCAAACTTTTAGCAATCCATTAGAATACTTTTAGAATTATTGGACTGTCAAATTTGTTATTCAAAATATAGAAAAAAATGAGTAATTAATAGAGATTTTATAAATATGAGAAGTATTTTTTAAAATGGAGCTGAATATAGAAATAAAGATACGAGTGTAAGAGCTTTATTCACTATAAAAAAATATTGGCGTAGAAGGTTGGCTGATGGTGATGAAGAGAGGTGCAACAATGCCGATAATGAGGAGGTCAGAAGGTTAAAAATGTAAGTGGACTGTTTTTGCTATTAACTCAATTATTTTTCTCCAATTTTCAAATAATTTTATTAATTACTCCCCCTCTACGTGGCAATATATGATTCGATGAAGGTTTTTATGAATTTATAGTTGAGATACCGGTTTAACAAAAATAGGTTAAATACTTATAAATTGAAGACTTGCGGTTGAATCAAGCATCTCTAAATTTGTTTGGAAATATTAAAAATAATTATCATCTCTTGATTTATAATTATTATTATTTAATATATTACTAAAATACAATTTTATGCATTGTCAGTAAAAGTGGCGCAGATCATTAAGATTTAATTTAATTTTAAAATTTTACAAGATTATATAATCATTTGTTTAATTGAATATGCATAAAATTATACACTATTGATGCATCAAATATTATTTTTTTTATTTTTTTTTATTTCTTAAACATGTTACCTTGCTCGTGCTATCAATTTAATTAGAAGTTTAATTTTAATATAGATTATAATTTAATAAAAAAAATTAATAAATCTTAATTTAATTTACATCGTTATTATAATAACATTTAAAAATATATGTAAAAATATTTTCCTATATATTTTAAACAATTTAAACATATAAAAAAAACCAACACGAATCAAGTGGCCCCCGTGATAAATGAATTGTTATTATTCTTGAGTATCCGATTCGAGCACCATAAATGCCAGGGGTATGAACGTTCAATATCAAAAAGTTGAGAGTTATTTTAAAACAGATAATGCCTTGTATTTACCCCATATTAATCAAATATATATATATATATAACCCAATTTAATTGTTGAAAAAGACAAAAAGTTATTCTAACAATTAATTGATTAAAGTGTTTTAGAATACAAATCGATTACTTGATTATAAAATGAAAAAAAGATAGACAAGTAGTTTATTATAATAATAAAATATTTACATAATTTTATTAATATTGTTGTTTTCACTTTACTCCTTCATATATATATATATATATATATATATATATATATATATATATATATATATATATATATTATCTCAAATAACCGCTAAAATAATTCTTTTTGAGAAATTGAAAATAAATTAAAATCGTGGCCAAAAGGGTCTGTGGAGATGGTGACAAAATATTGGGGAATTTTTTTAGCATAATCATTGAAATTTATTGGCTACAGTGTAGGTTGTGTTAGAATTTTATAATTAAAGGAATAATAATAATAATAATAATAGTAATAATTTAAAAAATAAGACATTAGTGGGATCAATTTTTGGAATAAAACATGTTAGACGTTGTAGGTCATGTTATTAGGGCCAAACCATTTATGAATTGAAGTGAATTGGTGTCCATTTTCTGTTAGTTTTCAACCTACCGTAATTATTATTTTATATTTTCATGCCTATAAATCGATCTTAATTCTATCAATTCTGTCCATGGTTTGGATTTTTTTTTAAAAACATATTCAACTAATTGTGAATTTTTGGGACCATTTAACTTGGTTGGGTCAATTGGATCGTTTCATTAATTCTGTCTTGAGAGAGGTGACTTGTACCATACAATTAGTGTGGGATGTGACTCCCATTCCTACCCGTCCATATCAATAATTTAAAAATAACTTGATAATTTCTTGAATTCAAATACTTTCAATACGATAAAAAATATTAAATGTTTCAATATTGGAAAAATTATAAAAATTGATTTTCGAATACATAAATTAAATTATGATTTTTATTTAATTTATTCTATTAATATTTAAATTTTATTTTTTAAAAACATCGACTCGCATGACCCCCTGTAGAATGTAACGTTACATTATTTTTCTGTTACGTAGTTTTCAAATTCAACGGCCCCTTTTTATTTAGTGCAAATGCCCAATGAGTTGGTGTGATAAGATTATTGATAGCTATTTTCCAACATTACTTTTGGAATAAGATTTTTCATTTCACGTTCAATTTTATTTATTTACTTAATCTCTATTAAAAAATAACGTTTATGAGACATGTTTCTTACCTTGTTTCAAGTGCCACAATTCAAGTTTTATTAAATTTATTAATTTATCTTATTTTAATAAAAAAACTGAGATTTAGAATTGAATATTTCTAATGTGTTTTAGGGGCATCTCTATTTTTTTTCATATATTTCCTAGTTGTGTATAAAATTATGTTAAAAAAAAACTCAACTCACTCACTCACAAACTCTTTGCGGCAGTTACTAATACTCTTAGGGTGCGTTTGGTTCACGGAATATAAGATTACCAGTGGGAATGTAAGATTACCAAGGAATAGCATTACTGGGAATGTTGTATTTTGTGTTTGGTTGGCTTAGCAGGAATGTAAGATTACCGTGTTTGGTTAAAGGAATAAAAGATTATTAGAATGTATATTTGACCAAATTGTCCTAATTATATATTTGTGTAATATTACAAGTTGGAAAATATTTATATATTTTATTTAAAAAAATTAAATTCATAATATTTATATATTTTTTACAAAATTAAAAATAAAAAAAGGTTTAATGAAAGGGTAAAATTTTATTTAAACCCTTGAACTTTATATAAAATTTTAATTATAGATTTTTTTTGTAAATCTAAAATAATTTAAGGATAAATTTGTAATTTAACATTCGTAAAATTTTTATTATTCGATGACAGAATAAATATATTTTTGAAAAAAAATAAAAATTTAAGGGCATTTTAGTCCAAAACGCCGGTAATCCAACAATACCTAAGGAAAGGGAGGTAATGACATTCCCGGTA